TATAATGTGATTTTCTACTGTGACTTTCTATAGCACGATTTTCTATAGCGTGAGGTCACGCAAAAAATGTAACTATCGTGTTATAGGAAGACTACCTGTAAATCTTTTCTGAACCCCGTCCAGTTTAATTATATCCCTCCTTTAATTGGACAGCCAAAACTGCACACAGTACTCCAGAAGAGGCCTCACTGACAACCTATAAAACCTCAACATTACGTCCCAACTTCTATACGCAAAGGTCCCTGAGTAATGAAGGTAAACATGCTAAATGTTTTTCTAACCACCTTATCTATATGTGCCGCAAACTTCAAAGAATTATGTATGTGAATTCTTAGGCTTCTCTGTTCTACAACACTATGTGGGCAGCATGGTGGCTCAGTGGTTAGCACTGCTGCCTTACAGTGCCAGGAACCTGGGTTTGATTCCACCCTCGGGCAACTGTCTGTGCGGAGTTTGCATATTCTTCCCGTGTCTGCGTGGGTTTCCTCCCACAGTCCAAAGATGTGCAGGCTAGGTCGATTGGCCATGCTAAATTTCCCATAGTGTCCAGGGATGTTTGGGTTAGACATGGGAAATGCATGTGTAGTGGAATGAGTTAGGGTGGGATGCTGTTCAGAAGGACTGTGTTGGGCGGAATGGCCTGATCCACACTGAGGGATTCTATGACTACTGAGGGCCCTAATTGTGTAAGTCCTGCCCTTGTTTGTTTTACCAAATGAAGTACCTCACATTTATCCAAATTAAACTCCATCTGCCACTCCTCAGCCCATTGACCCAATTGATCAAGATATCTTTTTAATCTTAGATTACTTTCTTCACAATCCACTAAACCACTGATTTTGGTGTCATCTATAAACTTACTAACCACACCTCCTATATACTCATCCAAATCTTTGCATAAATGAAAAACAAAAGTGGACTCAGTACCAAACCCTGTGGAACACTGTTGGTCACAGGCCTCCAGTCTGAAAAACAACCCTCTGTCTCCTACTGTAAAGCCAATTTTGTATCCAATTTGCAAGCTCCATATGTATCTCATGTAATCTAACTTTATCAATTAGCCTACCATGCAGAACCTTATTAGAACATAAGAACCAGGAACAGGAGTAGGCCATCTGGCCCTTTGAACCCGCCCCACCATTCAATAGGATCATGGCTGAGCTTTTCATAACCTCACCTCCACTTACCCACCCTCTCACCATAACCCTTAATTCCTTTACTGTTCAAAAACTTATCTATCTTAGCTTTAAGCACATTCAATGAGGAAGCCTCAACTACTTCACTGGGCAGGGAATTCCACAGAATCACAACCCTTTGGGTGAACAAGTTCATCCTCAATTCAGTCCTAAATCTGCTCTCCCTAATTTTGAGGCTATGCCCTCTTGTTCTAATTTCACCTGCCAGTGGAAACATCCTCCTTGCTTCTAACTTATCTATTCCCTTCATAATTTTATATGTTTAAGATGCCCCCTCATTCTTCTAAATTCCAATGAATATAATCCCAGTATACTCAGCCTCTCCTTATAAGCCAACCCTCTCAACACTGGAATCAACTTAGTGAATCTCCTCTGCACCCCCTCCAGTGCCAGTGCATCCTTTCTCAAGGAAGGAGACCCAAACTACATGCAGTACTCCTGGTGTGGCTCATCAGCACCCTATACAGTTGTAACATAGGAACTGCCAATGCTGGAGAATCTGCGATAACAAGGTGTAGAGCTGGATGAACACAGCAGGCCAAGCAGCATCAGAGGAGCAGAAAAGCTGATGTTTCGGGTCTGGACCCTTCAGAAAAAAAAAATTCTGAAGAAGGGTCCAGACCCGAAACGTCAGCTTTTCTGCTCCTCTGATGCTGCTTGGCCTGCTGTGTTCATCCAGCTCTACACCTTGTTATCTATATAACATAACTTCCCTGCTTTTAAACTGAAACCCTCTAACAATGAAGGACAAAATTCCATTTGTCTTCTTAATTACTTGTTGCACCTGCAAACCAACCTTCTGTGATTCATGCACAAGGACATCCAGGTCCCACTGCAAAGCAGCATGCTGCAATTTTCTACCGTCAAATAATAGTCCTTTTTACTGTTATTCCTACCAAAATGGATGACTTCACATACTTTCGCTGAGCACTTTGAAAAATTGCTTTGAAAGTCCTCCACTGTTCCTCAACTGCCCCACCAAAATTTTGCTTCCAGTCTACTATAGCCAACTCTTCCCTCATCCTATTCTAATCTCCTTTGTTTAAGCACAGTATCCTGTATTGGGTTTTATCTTCTCACTTTCCATCTGTATTCTAAATTCAACCATACTGTGATTGCTCCTTCCAAGAGGATCCCTAACTATGAGATCATTAATTATTCCTGTCTCATTACACACGACCAGATCTAGAATAGCTTGCTCCCTGGTCAGTTCCATTACATATTGTTCAAGAAATCTATCACGGATACATTCAATGAACTCTCCTCAAGACTGCCTTGACCGACCTGGTTCAACCAATCGACATGTAGATTAAAATCCTCCATGATAATTTTTACAGGCATTAGTTATTTCTTTGTTTTTTTGTCCGCCCCAATGCAGTGGTATTATTTGGTGGCCTACAAACTATGCCTATCAGTGACTTTTTCTAATTAGAATTTCTAATTTCCACCCAAATGGATTCAACCATATTCTCCATAGAACCCATATCATCTCACTACTGCTCTGATGTCATCCTTAAATAACAGAGCTACACCACACCCCTTACCTTCCTGTCTGTCTTTCTGAATAGTCTGATACCCCTGGATATTTAATTCCCAGTTGTGACAATCCTGCAACCATCTCCACAATGGCTACTAAATTATAATCATTCACGATAATTTGTGCCGTTAACTTATCTGCCTTGTTTTGAATGCCATGAGCATTTAGGTAAAGTGGCTTTATGCTAGTTTTTATACCTTCTTTTTGAATTCTAACATTTCCATTAATAATACCTCCTGAATTTTCCTTCCTTTTAACTTCTTTCATAGTCTATGATGTAGTTAAACCCTTCTGCATACTTTTCTATTTACCATTATACTTCACATCATTTTCTGCTTCCTTTTCCTGAAATACACTAGTTTAAAATCCTAGTAACCACTCTATTTATCCTTTTCGCCAGAACACTGATTCCAGATCGGTTCAGGTGGAGACTATACCAACGGTACAGATCCCACCACCCGTTTCAAAACTGATGCCAATGTCCCATGAAATGGAACCCCTCTTTTCCATACCACTCCTTTAGCGATGTGTTTACTTCCCTAATTATCTTACCCCAAGACAATTTGCACAATGCTTGGATAATAATCTAGAGGTTATAACCCTTGAGGACCTGTTCCTTAATTTTGTTCCTAGTGCTTGATACTCCCCAAACAGGTCCTCCTTCCTAGCCTTGCCTATGTTGTTTGTCCCAATGTGGACCACAACAACTGGATCCTTGCCCTCACGCTCCAAAATCCTTTCAAGCTGGTCAGAGATGAGGTTGTAGACTTGCTCACCGAGCTGGTGTGTTTGGTTGCAGACGTTTTGTCACCTGTCGGTGAAGCATTTATATTCTGTCCCACTTGTTATTTATATGCCTTGGTTTGTTGGGGTGGTTGGCATTACTTCCGGATCTATTTTTCAGTGGTTTGTATATGTTCAATGTGTTTGTTGATGGAGTTCCGGTTAGAATCCAAGCCTCCAGGAATTCCCTAGCCTGTCGCTGTTTGGCTCATGCTATTATGGGTGCGTTTCCCCAGTCAATTTGTGTCCTTCTTTGTCCGTGTGTATTGAGACCAGTGAAAATTGGTCGGGTCTCTTGGTGGCTAGTTGGTGTTCATGTATTCTTATTGTCAGTTTCCTTCCAGTTTGGCCTATGTAATGTTTTTCATTGTCCTTGCATAGTATTTTGTATATTACGTTACTTTTATTAGTTGTGGGTAAGGGATCCTTTATTTTAGTCAGTAGCTGTTGCAGAGCAGTTGTCGGTTTGTGGGCTACCCTGAGCTGCCCTAATCAGAGATGTCCCTCACCCTGGCACGAGGCAGGCAACACACCATGCTGGACTCTTGATCCTGCTTACAAAGAATGCTATCAAGCCCCCTTATTACAGGGTTCTCTACAACTACCACTTGCCTTTTTGCTCACCCCTCTTGAACATGCTCCTGTATCACAGTGCAGTGGTCAGTTGGCTCATCCTCCCTACAGCCCTTTTCCTCATCCTCAGAAGAAGCAAGTCCCTCATACCTATTCAGCAAGGTCAAGAGCTAAAGCTGCTCCGTTCTTGAATTCAGGATCCCCCTACCTGCCTCACTTGCAATCACACCCTGCTGTCCCTGATCACTCACTGAATTTGAAGTACTTACTTAACCTACCAGGTGTGGCTGCCACCTGAAACAAAGTGTCCAGGTATCTGTCCCCATCCTGGATAAGCAGCAGTGTTTGAACCTCAGTTTCCCGCTCATCAACTCTGAACCGAAGATCTGAGCAAGCAACACTTCCTGCAGATGTGGTCACTGCAGCTCGCAATGGAGACTGCCAGCTCCCACATTGTACAGCTACAGCACATCACCTGCCCATCCATCTCTACTTAGTTAATTACTTTATTACTTTGTATAAATTTCTGACTGCTCCCTGCAAACTAGCAAAGGCTTCACTAAAGTCCAAGTAAACAATGTCTACCACCCTGCCCTCATCAATCTTTTTAGTCACTTCTTTAAAAAACTCCATTAAGTTTGTGAAACTTGGTTTCCCTCACACAACATCATCTTGACTATCCCTAATCATTGTCTTTCGGCTGAGCGGTCCACTAACTACACCAGAAACCAGTGGAGAGTCTCTTTGGATCTGGAGTCATGTGTAGGCATCACTGAGTAAAAGACGGCAGATTTCCTTCCCTAAAGGGAAATAATGAACCTGATGAGATGTTCCAACAATCAGTGATGGCTTCTTTGCTCAGAAAAGCTTGTAATTCCAGATTTTGAATGGAATTTATTTAATTTCCTCTGGCTGCTGTGGTGTGATGTGAACTTCTGTGCATGGAACATTAGGCTGGATTACGAGTTCATTGACATTACCACTATACACCATTTCCTCCAAAAATATCCATCATTCATCTGTTGCATGATTGATAGTCACCTGTAAACATGGGGTTCACAGTTCATTACCATTTGCTGACTTTGGAGAATTGGTGCTGATTCCAGAGCTATCCCAGTACTAAAGTAAAAACAGAAATACAAAATCTTGGTCAGGTTGTATTTGCAGAATGAAACAGTTTTGAGTTTTGAATTTGCAACATGATCTCAACCTGAAATTCCCACATACTTCTGACATTTTTTGTCATGATTTCAGATTTCCAACATCTGCAGTATTTTGCTTTTGTTGCTTAGAACATAGAACATAGAACAGTACAGGCCCTTCAGCCCACGATGTTGTGCCGAACTTTTACCCTAATCCTAAGGTCTATCTAATCTCCACCCCTACCTAATACTATCATCAATATGCCTATCTAATAGCCGCTTAAATGCCCCTAATGAGGCCATCTCCACTACCCTCTCTGGCAATGCATTCCACGCCCCTACCACTGAGTAAAGAACCGACCTCCGACGTCTCCCCTATATCTACCTCCACTCACTTTAAAACTATGCTCCCTCGTAATAGCTAACTCCATCCTAGGAAAAAGTCTCTGGCTGTCTACTCTATCTATACCTCTGATCATTTTGTACACCTCTATCAAGTCATCTCTCATCCTTCGTTGATCTAAAGAGAAAAGACCTAGCTCTCTCAACCTTTCCTCGTAAGACCTTCCCTCCATTCCAGGCAACATCCTGGTAAACCGCCTCTGCACCTTTTTCAACGCTTCCACATCTTTCCTGTAATGATGCGACCAGAATTGGACACAATACCCCAGATGTGGCCAAACTAGGCTTTCGTATAGCTGGAGCATAACTTCACGGCTCTTGAACTCAATCCCTCTATTAATGAAAGCTAACACACCATACGCCTTCTTAACAGCTCTATCCACCTGGGTGGCAACTTTCAGGGAACTGTGGACATGAACCCCATTTTCCCTCTGCTCCTCCACACTGCCAAGAATCTTTCCATTAACCCTGTATTCTGCTTTCAAGTTTGTCCTACCAAAATGAATCACCTCACACTTTTCAGGATTAAACTCCATCTGCCACTTCTCAGCCCAGCTCTGCATCCGAACAATGTCCCTTTCTAACCGAGAACAGCCCTCCGCACTATCCACAACTCGACCGACCTTCGTATCGTCCGCGAACTTACTAATCCACCCTTCCACTCCTTCATCCAAATCATTTACAAACATCACAAATAGAAGAGGACCCAGAACAGATCCTGGTGGTACATCACTCGTAACTGAGCACCTTGTTGAATATTTTCCGTCCACTACCACCCTTTGCCTTCTAAGGGTCAGCCAATTCTGAATCCAATATGACACATTTCCCCCTATCCCACGCCTCCTTATCTTCTGCATGAGCTAACCATGGGAAACCTTATCAAACACCTTACTTAAATCCATGGAGACCATATCCACTGCTTTAATTTCATCCGCGTCTTTGGTCACCTCTTCAAAGAATTCAATAAGGTTTGTAAGGCATGATCTACCCCTCACAAATCCATGCTGACTATCACGAATCAAACTGTGCCTTTCCAAGTGTTCGGAAATCCTATCTCTGAGCCCTTTCCAATAATTTGCCCACCACTGACGTAAGACTAACTGGCCTGTAATTTCCGGAGTTATCCCTATTCTGTTTTTTGAACAAGGGAATGACGTTTGCCTCTCTCCAATCTTCCGGCACTATACCCGTGGACAGTGAGGATGAAAAGATCGTTGCCAAAGGCACTGCGATCTCTTCCCTCGCTTCCCATAGAATCCTTGGATAAATCCCATCTGGCCTGGGGGACTTATCTATCTTCAAGTTCCTCAAAATTCCGAGTACATCTTCCTTACTAACATGGACCTCCTCTAGCCTACCGGCCTGTTTCACACTGTCCTCCTCTACAACTAGGTCCCTCTCAGTTGTGAATACCGAAGAAAAGTATTCATTAAGGACCTCTCCTATCTCTTTAGGCTCCGTGCACAAATTCCCTTTCCAATCCTTGATCGGCCCTACCCTTTCTCTGGTCATTCTCTTATTCCTCACATACGTGTAAAAAGCTTTGGAGTTTTCCTTGATCCTATCTGCCAAGGTTTTCTCATGCCCCCTTTTTGCTCTCCTAAGCCCTTTCTTCAGCTCCTTCCTGGATAACCTGTATCCCTCTGGAGCCTTTTCCATTCCTTGTTTCCTAAACCTTATATAAGCATCCTTCTTCCTCTTAACCAGTCGTTTGACCTCTCTTGAGAGCCAAGGCTCCCTTACTCAACCGCATCTTCCCTGTCTGCAAGGGACAAACATATCGAGCACACGCAGTATGCATTCCTTAAACAATCTCCACATTTCAATAGTGCTCTTCCCTGACAGCATGTTCCCATTTTATGTTACCCAGTTCTTGCCTAACAGAATTGTAATTACTCTTCCCCCAATTATAAACCTTACCCTGCTGTATTTACCTATCCTTTTCCATGACTATTGTAAAAGTAACAGAGTTATGATCGCTACCGCCAAAATGCTCTCCTACCAATAGGTCTAACACTTGGCCCGATTCATTGCCAAGCACCAACTCCAAAGTGGCCTCTCCTCATGTTGGTCTATTTATGTACTGTGTCAGGAATCCTTCCTGAATGCACTGGACAAAATCTGCTCCATCTAAACTATTACAACTAAAAAGTTTCCAATCAATATTTGGAAAGTTGAAGTCACCCATGACTGCAACCCTGTGACTTCTGCACCTTTCCAGTATCTGCCTCCCAATCTGCTCCTCCACTTCTGTGCAACTATTAAGGGGTTTGTAAAAAAAACCCCAACAAAGTGACTGTTCCTTTCTTGTTCCTGACCTCAACCCAAACTGACTCTGTAGACACATCATTCTCGAACTGCCTTTCAGTAGTTGCTATACTAGCCCTGACTAGCAATGCCACTCCCCCGCCTCTTTTTCCACCCTCCCTGTTTCTTTTAAAGCATCTAAATCCTGGAACTTCCAACAACCATTCCTGTTCCTGAGTTACCCAAGTTTCTATAATGGCCACAACATCGTAGTTCCAAGTACTGACCCATGCTCTAAGTTCATCTGCCTTATTTCTGATACTTCTAGCATTGAAGTAAACTGATGTCAAACCATCTCTGGGTCCACAATTATGCTCCATCGACCACATTTCTTTATTAACAACGTCACTCCCTGTTGCGTCTGTTGGAAGACTGAATACTTCATCCTCTGAAATACAAAGCCGGTTCCCCAGCCCCTGCCAATCTAGTTTAAACCATCCTGTATACTCAAGCAAACCTCCCTCCCAGGATATTTGTGCCCTTCCGGTTCAGGTACAACCCGTCCTTACTGTAGAGGTCCCACCTTCCCCGGAATGTTCTCCAATTATACACATAATGGAAGCCCTACCTCCTACACCAGCCCTGTAGCCACGTGTTTAGATGCACTGTCTCCCTATTTCTTACCTCGTTATCACGTGGCACTGGTAGTAATCCAGAGATAATTATCCTGTTTGTCCTGGACTTCAGCTTCCAACTTAACTCCCTGTACTCGTTTTTCACATTCTCAGTCCTTTTTCTACCTATGTCATTGATACTGATGTGTATCATGACTGCTGGTTGCTCACCCTCCCCTTCAGGATCCTGAAGGCACGATCCAAGATGTCATGCTGGCACCCGGGAGGCAACATACCATCCGTTCATCTCATTTGCATCCACAGAACCGCCTGTCTGTGCCTCTTACTATTGAATTGCCCACTACAATTACTCTCCTATTCTCCCTACTTCCCTTCTGTGCCACAGGGCCAGGCTCAGTGCCAGAGACCTGTCCGCTATGGCCTTCCCCTGGTAGCTCGTACCCCACAACAGTATCCAAAACGGTATACTTATTATTGAGGGGAACGGCCACAGGGGATCCCTCCAGTCTGCCTATCCCCTTTCCCCTTCCTGACAGTCACCCAGCTACTTTCTTCCTGTACCTTGGGTGTGACCACCTCCTTATAACACCTCTCTATCACCCCCTCAGCCTCCCAAATGATCCGGAGTTCATCCAGCTCCAACTCCAGTTCCCTAATGTGGTTTGTGAGGAGCTGGAGTTGGGTGCACCTTGCAGGTGAAGTCAGAGGGGACACCAGCATTGACTCTTACCTCCCACATCCTGCAAGAGGAGCATGCAACTGCCCTAGGTTCCATTCCCTCTACTCTCGGTATCCAGAAGAATAAAAAAAAAGCCTTACCTTACTGAACCTCCACACTTTTTTTTTGGGTTAGAGGAGAAGGATCGGTGGGAGACTCTAGACGTGTAGTGTTTCGGGTTTAGCCAAAGCTGGAATATATTAGTTCCTTCCTAGCTCGCATCATCTGAGCTCCCGTTGCTCCAAACAAGAAGTCTGCTGCTGCACGAGGTAAGTTTTTAATACGGAAAAAAAACCTTACCTTCCCATCGGCACCGTGGCTCGCGCTTACGCCACTCCAAACAAGAAAGCCGCTGCTGCACGAGGAACGTTTTTATACGGGAAAAAAACCTTACCTTCGCATCGGGACCCTGACTCGCGCTACAGCTGCTCCAAACAAGAAGGCTGCTGCTGCACGAGGTAAGTTTTTATACGGAAAATAAAAGCTTACCTTCCCATCAGCACACTTGCTCGTGCTCCGGCTGCTCCAAACAAGAAGGCCGCTGCTGCACGAGGTAAGTTTTCATACGGAAAAAGAATCTTACCTTTCCTTCGGCATTCTGGCTCGTGTTCCCGCTCCTCCAAACAAGGCGGCTGCTGCTGCACATGGTAAGGTTTTGTCTGGAAAATTAGGCTTACTTTTCCGTCAGCACCCTCGCTTGCGCTCTCGCTACTCCAAAGAAGAAAGCCGCTGCTGCACGAGGTATGTTTTTATCCAAAAAAAACCTTACCTTGCCATCATCACCTTAGCTCACGCTCCCGCTGCTCCAAACAAGGCCGCTGCTGCACGAGGTAAGTTTTTATATGGAAAAAGAAACCTTACTTTCCCGTCGGCACCCTAGCTCGTGCTCCCTCTGTTCCAAACACCAAGGCCGCCGCTGCACGAGGTAAGTTTTTATATGGAAAGAAAACCTCACCTTGCTGTCAGCACCCTCGCTGTATGCTCCCGCTGCTCCAAACAAGGAGGCCGCTGCTGCACGAGGTAAGTTTTTATATGGAAAAAGAAACCTTACCTTCCCGTCAGCACCCTGGCTCGCAATCCCACCGCACCAAACAAGAAGGCTGCTGCTGCACAAGGAACGTTTTTATATGGAAAAAAAATCTTACCTTCGCATCGGGACCCTGGCTCGCGCTCCTGCTGCTCCAAACAAGAAGGCCGCTGCTGCATGAGGAAAACTTTTCTCCGGAAAAAAAATTCCTGAGTTTCCCGTCGGCACCCTAGCTCATTGTGCTGCTGTTCAAAACAAGAAGGGCACTGCTGCACGAGCTAAGTTTTCATACGGAAAAAAAATCCTTGCCTTCCCTTCAGCACCCTAGCTCGCTCTCCCGCTGTTCCAAACAAGAAGGCCGCTGCTGCACGAGCTAAGTTTTTGTCCGGAATAAAAGACTTTACCTTCGCGTCGGGACCCTGGCTCACGCTCCCGCTGCTCCAAACAAGAAGGCTGCTTCTCCACGAGGTAAGTTTTTATACGGAAAATAAAACCTTACCTTCCCATCGGCACCCTTGCTCGCACTCCCACTGTTCCATAAAAGGCCACTGCTGCACGATGTAAGTTTTCAAACGGAAAAATAACCCTTACCTTCCCTTCGGCACCCTGGCTTGCGCTCCCGTTGCTCCAAACAAGACGACCACTGCTGCACGAGGAACGTATTTACATGGAAAAAAAAAACATACCTTCCCATCAGTACCCTGGCTCGCACTCCCGCTGCTACAAACAAGAAGGCCGCTGCTGCAAGAGGCAAGTTTTTTTTTACGGAAAAAAGAACCTTACCTTCCCGTCGGCACCCTGGCTCGCGTTCCCGCTGCTCCAAACAAGAAGGCCACTGCGCCACAGGTCATTTATTATCTGGAAGAAAAAACCTTACGTTTCAGCTGTACAAAAGCTTGGTTCGGCCACGTCTGGAGTGTTGTGTCAAGTTCTGGTCACCTCATTACAGTAAAGATGTGGAGGTATTAGAAAAGGTGCAAAGGAGATTTACCAGGATGTTGCCTGGGATGGAGGGAATGTCTTACGAGGAAAGGTCGAGAGAGCTAGGGCTTTTCTCTTTAGAACGAAGGATGAGAGGTGACGTGATAGAGGTGTACAAAATGATCAGAGGTATAGATAGAGTCGACAGCCAGAGACTTTTTCCTGGGGTGGAGGTAGCTTTTGAGGGACATAGTTTTAAAGTGAAAGGAGATAGATATCGGGGAGACGTCAGAGGTAGGTTCTTTACTCAGAGAGTGGTAGGGGCGTGGAATGCATTGCAGGAGAGGGTATTGGAGTCGGCCTGGTTAGGCACATTTAGGCGGCTATTAGATAGGCATGTGTATGATAGTATAAGGTAGCGGTGGAGGTTAGATAGACTTTAGGTTTAGGGTAACAGTTCGGCACAACATCATGGACCGAAGGGGCTGTACTGTGCTTTACTGTTCTATGTTCTGTATTTTTCCTCGGCACCCTCGCTATGCGCTCCCGCTGCTCCAAACAAGAAGGCCGCTGCTGCACGAGGTATGTTTTTATACAGAAAATAAAAACTTTACCTTCGCGTCGGCACCCTGTCTTGCGATCCTGCCGCTCCAAACAAGAAGGTCACTGCTGCACGAGGAATGCTTTTATACGGGGGAAAAAAACCCCGTAATTTTCCGTTGGCAACCTCGATCACGCTCCCGCTGTTCCAAACAAGAAGGGCAGTGCTGCATGAGGTAAGCTTTCGTCTGGAAAAAAAACCCTTGCCTTCCCTTCAGCACCCTAGCTCACGCTCCCGCTGCTCCAAACGAGAAGGCCACTGCTGCATGAGATAAGATTTTGTCTGGAAAAAACACCTTACCATCCCATCGACATCCCTGGTTCGTGCTCCCGCTGCTCCAAACAAGAAGGCCACTGCAGCACGAGCTAAGTTTTTGTACGGAAAAAGAAATCCTTACTTTGCCGTCACCTTCGGCACCCTAGCTCGTGCTCCCGCTGTTCCAAACAAGAAGGCTGCTGCTGCACGAGGAACATTTTTATATGGAAAAAAAAACCTTACCTTTGCGTTGGGACTCTGCCTCACGCTCCCGCTGCTCCAAACAAGAAGGCTGCTGCTGCACGTGATAAGTTTTTATACGGAAAAGAAACCTTACCTTTCCGTCAGCACCCTCGCTTGTGCTCCCGCTGCTCCAAACAAGAAGGCTGCTTCTGCATGAGGTAAGTTTTTATATGGAAAATAAAACCTCACCTTCCCGTTGCTCCAAACAAGCAGGCCACTGCTGAACGAGGTAAGTTTTTATATGGAAAAAAAACCTTACCTTGCCGTCAGAACCCTCGCTTGCGCTCCCGCTGCTTCAAACAAGAAGGCCGCCGCTGCACGAGGTAATTTTTTATATGGAATAAAAACCTTACCTTCTCATCGGCACCCTGGCACGCACACCGGCTGCTCCAAAAATGAAGGCCGCTGCTGCACGAGTTAAGTTTTTAAATGGAAATAAAAACTACCTTCCCTTCGGCACTCTGGCTCGCGCTCCCGCTGCTCCAAACAAGAAGGCCCCTGCTGCACGAGGAACGTTTTTATATGGTAAAAAAAACCTTACCTTTGCGTCGGGACTTTGACTCGTGCTCCAGGTGCTCCAAACGAGAAGGCCACTGCTGCACGAGTTAGTGCCCTTGAGGTGGGGGAGGACACCAGAAAATGGAGAAAGAATAAAAGTGCAAGAATTTGGTGAAGTGCAAGTCAGAGCACAGTTGCAAACTGACAAATTCCCCCCCTTCTGCATTAGGATAATATCCCAACTATTACTAGACTGGTGCCTGGACTGGGTGGGGTGTCTTAAGAGGAAAGGTTGAACTGGTTGGGCTTGTAGTTTTGGAGTTTAAAAACGTAAGAGACAACTTGATTGAAACATATAAGTTATTGAAGGGTTTTGATGGGGTGTATACAGAACAGATGTTTCCTCTGGTATAGAATCTAAAAGATAAGCTGCCGATCAACATCAAAGTTTGCACATATTCCCAAATGGGGGTATACAGCTAACATTGAAGAAGAATGTAACAGAATACGATAGGACATTAGAAAAAATGTTGACTGAGCAATTATGTGGCAAATGACCTTTAAAAAAGGATGCACTTTGAAAGGAAAAATACCTTAATCATTTAGCCATTCCAAAAAAAAAATGAATCTTGCAAAAAAAGTTGGGATCTAGGATACAGGTTAAAAAGAAGCTTCAAGCAGTGTTGCAGATTAGCAAAGAGGTTAAAAGAGTTGGAACTTACGTTTAGCAGTGTAGAATTCAAAATTAGTGAAATTGCATTAATCGGTTGAGTTGCACCACCACTATTGTGCACAGCTCTGCTCTCCATACTAGACAAAGGACGTGGACACAATAAAGATAATGAAAAAACAAATTTAAAAGAATGGTGTCTGAAGTGAGAGTTTACAGCTATTGGAAAAGATTCAACAGGTTGGAGCTTTTTTCCATCAGAATGAGAAGACTTAAAACTCCTCCCGCTCCACACTGTGTTATCAGAGTTTGAAGGAGTTAGTTTAATTATCAATAGCTGAGTGGACTGCTAAACCAATGTTTAAGATTTATCTTAGTTGTATCTTGCCATTTAAGATCAAACTTATACTTTATATTTGACCATACGTTGCCTGGCTGTGCAATAACGTACCTCATTAATAAACTTGGTATTGTGAAATTAATCATATATTGAACAGAGCAGATCTGGAATGAATGGGGTAAAATAGTGTGCCCTATCTGTGGATTTGCAGGTAACGGCAGCCTCATCAAATTCACCAGGAGGCATTTCCACTGCTTAATTGTTATACCCCCACCAACTCCCCACAACCTGTCAGTAACGTTTTTGGGAGGGTGGGTAAGGAGTGGAATGGCCTCAATTATTGCCACTTAAGTGTTGGTTCCTGCCCAGCCTCAATTTTTAGATTAGTATGAGGAAGCTTGGGAAGGCAACCGGGTAAGTCATGTTTGGCGAGTGGAAAAGTATGCAGAAATTTGGTTTTCCATTTCTCCAGTGTAGGGCACCTACATTGTTACATTTAATTTGCATGTTGAATGGAATGGAAACTGAATGTGAAGCACAAAAAATAAACCTGGAAATAAACCTAAACTGACCAGTTTCAAAGGAAACAAAAAGCAAGCAGAGATTCGGAAATTAACCTTGTTGAAAGACACATATGAAGGACAAGTATGAGTCTAAACTGGGCAGTAACAAGTGTTGAGTCAACTTATCCAGTATAAGTAAGCTGAAGGTGACTGAAATAGATAGTCCAGATACAGAAGCTGAGACTAAGTGGCTGATCTGTTTCTTTCACTGGAAGATAATATTGTTGGGATCACTATATCCTGAGTTGTATCGGTTCTGGACATGCATGTCATTGGTGATGAAGAGTGTGCCCTTCATTACTAGGGATCAGACTAGATCTGAAAAGGAAAAGAGCTGAAATCCCTCATGTGGAAGACAGAGTTTGATGGAGATAGTAAGAACTGCCAACGCTGAAGTAAGGGATAACTTTTTTTTTCTGAAGAAGGGTCCTGACCTGAAACATCGACTTTCCTGCTCCTCTGATGCTGCCTGACCTGCTGTGCTCCTCCACCTCCACACTGTGTTATCAGAATTTGAAGGAGTTAGTTTAATTATCAGTAGGTGAGTGGACTGCTGAACCAATGTTTAAGATTTATCTTAGTTGTATCTTGCCATTTAAGGTCAAACTTATACTTTATATTTGACCATAATTTGCCTGGCTGTGCAATAACGTACCTCATTAATAAACTTGGTATTGAAGCCATTAGAATGACAGGTTGTAGTTATCCTTTAGTTAACCACTAAAGACACCTGATGTGTTCAGATATAAGTGTGATAAGGCATAATTATTGTCAAACAATCACTGTTCCATTGAAATTTTGAATTTACAATTGTGGAGCCTCTGTTTTTCAGATTTTGATTAGTGTTGGAGAATCTTCAAAAGCAATTTTTAAAAAAAGTTCTGTCTTTTATCTACTTAATCCCACTTTTCTTTTTCTATCCCAAGTTTATTCTACAGTGTACATGATATAAAACTAAGTTATATTTCCAAGTTTATACCTCACGATTGAGACTTTGCAGGAGTGAAACATGCCTATGCCAGCAGCATGAAACAAGCTGATGGTAAATTAGTAGCCAATCTTTCACTGCATCAAACTTTCTTCACAATAAAATTCCCAGAATAAATTGTTCAAATACATTTGGAAGACTTACTTCCTCGTTTTGATTTAATTTGAAACTAAAGATATTGGTAGTGTTTCTAAGTCAGTGGAAAATTAAGACTAAAACTGGTGCTGGAAAGCCATCTGCTGATTTGCTATGAACCCCTTTCAAGCTGGTGACGTGAATCAGATTAAACTCCTACGTAGATAAGTGAGGAATCTTCAATGTAATTGTTTGAAAAGAGATATTATTGCTTGCCCTGTTAACACATGTCTGGGATTCCTCGAAGAGGGATTGTTGTGGTTCAGGTACCTGATTACAGTAAGTTGCTGCTGAATAACCCATGAAAAGTCTATGGGCAGCAATTAGTTCAGGGAACAGAAACATCATTCCCTTTGCTGGTGACAACAGAGTCCCGATTGTTATCAAGGCAAGACTCGAGATTCAACAAAAATCAGAGAAACACAATTTGTAACACAGGGCAAAAGAAATAAAGTTCTCTTTCACTTGACTGCCAATCATGAATCAATGAAGTCATTCTTGTGTATGACTCAGGGACTCATAAGTTAAAGGCTCCAAACATCCAACTCCCCTCCATCGTAGCCCTTCCCATAAACCCCATAGGTATTGCATCCAAACCATCTACATCAGCATGCACTTATCCACATTTCCCACCCAGCCCTTGGTATATGAAGCAACCATGCCAAGTGTGGTCGTACACCAAACTCCTTTGAAGTCAGTGTGTTTCCATACAGGTATGAACCTCCTCCCCTCCCACATGACCTCTTTCCTATCCATACTTTATTCTATTCCCCGCTTGTAGATCCAGTTGCACCTTCACAACAGTCTTTCTTGCCGTCCCTGCAGCTTGCAGCTTGCAGTTCCCAGTCCTGTAGAATAACTTGCAACATGGCAATGCTTTATACCATCCATAAACTGCCCTTTAGTTTCTGTGGACATGCCCAGTAAAGTGATTCTAGACCACAAGGGACTGTCTGGTTGCTCAAGAAACTCACCACATACCTTGTCAAAAGCACAAAAAATGGAGTGAAATACTCCCAACATCAAGACAAGGAGCGCTGGTTTTCTCATCTGATTCTGCCACATAGATCACTGTAAAGCATGTCACTCAGAATTCCTATAAAATTTCACCCATGAATTTAGTCTGACACTCCAGAGTTGTACAGAGAAAGAGTTCTGTACTCTCAAAAGTGCCATGCATTAGATATGGCATTGATTATCCAACCCCTTCTTGTTCCTGTGTTTCAGCCGGGTATCACAAAAAGCAAATCAGCTTTACGTTCAATCACTTGCAACTATCACATTCACTTACATAACGATGTTGACAGCTTTTCAAAGCAATTCATTATATGTATAGTTGCTTGTCTGGCAGCCCAACCATCACATAAACAAGCACTGGCATACCACCACTGTGCCATGTATGATATTCAGAATGCACTGCAGCAACTCATCAAGGTGCCGTTGAAAGCAGCTCTCTAACCTCCAAACTCCACCAATGATAAGTAGAATGGGGGAGATGTCTTTGAATGTGATCTCCTTCAATTCACACACCATCCTAATCTGGACACATATTGCCATTGCTTCAGCTTCATTAGGTCTAAGTCCTGAAATGAAGTATCTTTTCCACATGGACAGCAGCGGTTCAAGCAGGTCTCATATATCTAGATTTTTTTAAAAATCCATTAAGTGGATATAGATGTTGCTGACTGGGCCAGCATTTAACCCCCATTCTTAAATGTCCTTGTGAAGGTCCTACTGTGAAGGTAGTGGTGAGCTGCTGTCTTGAACTGATGCAATCCCTATGCTGTAGGTATAGCAACATTGCCATTGGGGAAGTACTTCTAGGATTTTGACCCAGCGACAGTGAAGGAATGATGATATATTTCCAAGTCAGGATGGTGAGTGGCTTGGAGAGGAACTCACAGGTGGTGGTGTTCCATATATCTGCTACTCTTGTCCTTCTAAATGGAAGTGGTTGGGAGAGCAGGTGCTACAGATGTTTACATCTCACACAAATGTTTATTTACAAAAGGATTTTGGGACATTTTGATGTCAGGCACTGTCTATAAAAATGAATTCATTTCTTTATTACTTGGTGTATTCCCATTCTCCTATGAATACTGCCAAATAAATTACTTATTGGAAACTTAATTTTGCCATTTTCCCAAATTTCCACTTTCAACTCTTTTTTTTCAACTAACACCTTCAGAAACAGGGCAGGATAAATGACTTCCACATAAACAACAAGAAGAATATCTTGAATTTATTTTGAGTCTTTAATGTCATAAAACATCCCAAATGCTTCACAG